GGGGGGGGGAGGAGGCTTTGTTCTCTGGCACTAGACATACTGAGCACTGGTGTAACCATTAAGCCACAAGTTGTGTTAAAACTTTCAACTTCACCAAAAAAAAAAAAAAATACATTTGAAATTGTCCAAGATGGCCATTCTTTATCATGGAGTAAAATGGTTGCCCTAGACAGGTAGATGTCTTGGACAATGTCATTATGACAATATTTAAAAAACGCACAAGGGTAGGCGGAGGGAGAAAATGGGAACTGGTCGTTTACACGGGTGACTGTCATGGACAAGTGGCCGCTAGAGCAGGTTCGACAGTACAAAAGGAATTTATTTCTCACCTTATACAGCTGTTTCTCCACATCTTTCAATCTTCCCCGCAGATTTTTAATGTCGTTCTTGAAGCCCTCCACCTCAAGATTCCTCCTTCGCTCTAAATCCTGGTAGCGAGCGTTCATGAGCTTTAACCTCGATGTCATCTTTTCACTCCGGTCCTGAGAACACAAGTCAAGACTTGTATACTGATTGGAAATTCTCTACCCTTCTAGTTTTTTAGCTTTAGTAGAGGTTTTACGGCGCTCGCAACAGCATAAAGTAATATGAGCGCCATGGGGTGGATGTCAACAGAGAAGCCCTTACAGGGAATCAGACTTACTCTGCTCACCTCTCTCGCTTCAACAGCACAAAGTCTGCTTCGGCTATCAAGGCACCCCGGAAATAGTGCGTCACAAGAGTGTGACAAACATACAAAAGAAGTAGAGGAAAAATGATAATAGTAAGGATTAGGAAAGAAAAAGCAGCAGTTCCCTGTTGTAGATCAGGCACAGTTATGAGCATGACATTGATGAATCAGCCCACTTACAATCCTACTGTGCATGAACGAGAAATGTCCTCCCTTTGGGAATGGCCTAAAGACACTTCAGTCAGAAGCACCGCCCCGAGGGGTTCTCTACCCTTCAAATATAAGAGGCAAAACTCAAGATACAGCACAACCCCTCCCAACGCTCCTCCCTGTCGTCCCCTAAAAAGCAACAACCCCCCTAAATAAAATAAAAACTCAACAACAAATCAAACAAAAAACAATCCCTTCACAAAAACAAAACCCACAGAAAAAAACTGAAACAAAAATCAAAACAGAAACAAAGATAATCCTAATCACACACTCCTAATACTTTCAAAAGAAAACCCATCAACCAAATGGAAAACAGAAAACAAAAAGAAATTTGGTTTTACAAAAATCCAAGGGAATGTAATCAGACTGACCTGGAAGACTTCCCTGGTGACATCCCCTTCCTCCCTGATACGAGAAAGCTCATCTTCCAGCTGTATCACCTGTTCCCGGTAGTTGTCTGCCAATTTTTGACTCTGTGTCACTTGAAACTCGAGAGACTGAAATACAAATAATCTAAATCATTTACCTACAGTCATGTACCCTTATTGTAAGAAAATGATTGAGAAGCATGTGTGTGTGCATATGTGCGTGAGTGTTTGTGTGTGTGTGTGCGTGTGTACGTGTGCGTGTGTATGTGTATACATGTGTGTGTGTGTGTGTGTGTGTGTGTGTGTGTGTGTGTGTGTGTGTGTGTGCTTTTCTGTGTTTGTACTAGATTTTCTGGAACCTGGAGAAAAATCACAGAGAATGATGTACAGAAATGTTGGAAGATATGGAATAACATCAGGAGGTTAGCCCAGGAAAGGGAAAGGTGGAAAGTGTTTGTTCGGGGCTGATACACTGATGCAGGGTGCGAAAGGCAGTGATAACGATGACTAGATTCCCTAGCTAATAAAAATATGAACATTATGGCAACCTCATAGAATGCTGTTGAAAAAAAATTCAAACATACCACTGGAAATGTTTAAACATACTACTAAAAATATTCAACAACAGGCTTTCTACTTTTTAACCAATTTTATGAGACAATTGGAGCTTATCTCAATTCCCAATGAATGTTCTGAGTATGAGGACAAATATCAGTATTCTTGAAAGTTCTAAAGGCACCATAAAAAAAATTTAAATTTCATTGAAACACTGAGCTTCCCAATTTCGACTGTATTGTTTCCCTTACCTTGATCTCCTCTGGGTCTACTTTGCCTGACTGCGTGTTCAGGGAAATATTCATGACAGATTCTCGCATGGACACATTTGCTTGCTGCTTGACCACATCCATCTCTCTCAGCAGTCTGTCTTTCTCTGCCATCCATGCCCGTTCCATTGTGCGCCCCTCAAAGCGCAGCTCCAAGAAATCTTTTGTGCTATCGTACAGCAAGTCTTGCGTCTTGTGAAGTCTGCATAGGAAGGAGAGCCCAATGAAAAATACTATTAGCCCTAAGCTTTGAAATAACTCTCCATAAAAATGGTAAAAAAATTGTTAGTCATGTGGAGGCAAAATTTATTTGTAGCTATTGTCAATTATTCAATCTAAAGAGAATTATTGAAAAGGATGTACAAAAACAATGACAAAGGGTTCCTGCCATGAACATCCCATCAAATTCAAGGAGGTTTCAAGATGAAATTTTAAAAATTCAAGGAGATTTGGTCAAGAAATTCATGACGAAAGCCTATTTTCGATAAGCCTACACTTGTCCGAAAGGAATCATCATGGTTTTCAATTTTCCTACAAAAACTGTTCCCAGGGTGACTGCCAACCGGGCGTCTCAATTTTCCAGGGGGGCCCCATCCATCCTCCAGGGGCATGTTACATAACACAATGACAGTGCTTGCTCCATTTATATATTATACATAATATATATATATACACACATGTAGGCACATTATATCCAGTCAACAACATGTCAGTGTGGCACTGTGTGACTTAGATATTTCACTCTGTTCTTACTTATTTTTTCCCCTTCATCATATTCGCCTATAAAAACTATATAAAAATGAATCATGCTTTGAGCCTGAGAAAAGGCCTAGAACCAGAATATCCACTGTCAAGAACCAGTTTGAGTGTCAGGGTTTATATAATAAACGTGAAAAACAAAAATTATCGCTCAAACTCAAAGTAGAGTTATAACTTGAATGGCTCAAGTAGACCTATTCAGTGTGAATGGTGTAAGAACTGTGGGAGGGCAAGATGCAGTGACACTGAAAATCAGCGAATCTTGAACAGAAAGCTAAAATAAAGAACATATACATGTAATTTACTACCACCTACCCAATGAAACGGGAACCCTTTAGTTAAAAACCCCCCCAGGGCTAATAAGGTTTGAGTATGACAGATCTCGATTCCACAAAAGGCCTGCACCAAGGTGCGCTTTGCAGAGAGCCTTAGATCTAGATCTTCTACTTATACTAGTAATCAAAATTCTGAAAAGTATAATCTGCTTCCAAGTTCAGTTATTGTCATCCGGTGTTGCCTTCAACCCCACCCACCCCTCCCCCACGTGCGTCTTTAAAAAAAAATCAATAATCCCCCCATTCCCGTGTCCTATACTTCGCAGTGCTGAAACTTTGCATTAACTTTGGTGACCTCAATGGCGATACTCACGATGTGACGAAAACGCACAGGTTCAATGACCGGTCACGATGGCAAGCCCGACAAGAAGCTTGTATAACCTGCTTTTGTTTTCACAAGTGACAGCAAAGGGCAAACGATTTATTTTCATGGTGACACAGCGTTTGTAATCCAGAAGCTGCATGTTACAAAAGTGGCGTCACCAGACTACTGACCTAAACTACCGGCAAATTTCAGGGTGGTAACGAAAGCAGAACTTGATTTTCCCGACCGAGCTTCGGTATTGCACATTAGGTCTATACACTTCCACTTTGTTGCCGCCATAACCGCTTGTTCGCCTGAAACATACCCTCAGGCCGGGAAAGGCCGAATGAATATATCACAACCGCGACCGGCAAAAATGAACTCAAGGACGTTATCGGATTTGGTTTTCAAACGTATTTTCCCGGGTCTTTCACTTTCACGGGGCAATTTACAGATTTCTTAAAATTCCCGTTGCATTCCGCGTCTCGGCGATTTTTTTCTTCATATTCCTGGGTAATTCCAGCGGCCCCCGAGATTCCCGGGGCCTGGCAGTCACCCTGTGTTCCTGTCTGATCTGGCAAAATTCAAGGAGTTTTCAAGGAGATTTTCCTTTGAATGCAAATTCAAGGAGTTTTCAAGGAGATTTTTCCTTGAATGCAAATTCAAGCAGTTTTCAAGGATTCCTTGAATTCAAGGAGGCCATGGGAACCCTGATGACAACATAAAGATGACAATTATAACATACTTCTCTGTCAATGTCCGTAATTTTTCCTCGTCTCTCTGTCTGCGGGTCTCAAACTCCTCTTCCTTCACTCTGCGGTCCTCCAGTAAGGCTTCTGTCTGCTCCTTTGCTAGTTTGGCTTGTTCTGACAACTGAGCCTGAAGAGATTCAACCTGTATGGGACAAGAAAATGTAGAGACCAAATTTAAGTTTCATTGGAGGCAGCAGAACAGCCAAAAACTCTGAATGGTTAAAATAGCAATATAATCGTAAACTAAAAGCCTAGAGCAATAAAGAATCCCATGCAGTCTAACATCTGTATTTCCTTTTCAAAAATAAAAAACAATGTCACAAACATCCTCTCTCTGTACCTCACCCAACATAACAAATTATATAAAGTACAAAAATTTCAGTGTATAGCACTTATACGTGACAAACTACTCTAGATTCAGTTTCATACTGAAGGATAACAAACTTCATTAGACAAAGAAAGCTGAAGATGTATGGCCACATAAAATAATCAAACAACCTAGTAAATTTACAGTCACAGACAGAGCACTTCAAGGCGAAAAGAAGAAAGCCTGGCTATGAAACAAAAGATAAAAAAAGAATGGACAGATACAGAAGAGGAAGAAGAAAATAGACTGACACAGAAGAGGGAGAAGAAAAGAGTCACAGCATCCAGGAAAGGAAAAACAAGGTAACCAGCATTAGTAGTGTCCACTTTATCTTAGGACTCATGAGAAAAGAAAAAAAAGAAAAGGGGAATATCTAAAACTATTTGATCGGTCATGATGAGAAACAATTGAAAAGTTACACGACTTCAGCTACTTGTTCGTTTTGTTTGGCTGACCAATGCCAGACAACTAGAAGGGGGATCTTGGAGCACTGAGAGGAGCACTAAATATTAATATATATCCTTTTGCATAGTGCATATCCCTGCTCAAAAGCAAGCTCTCTTCACTGTCAAGCCAACAAATGGTTTTAGATGACTCGGTTGCACACAGTCGAACATATTATTGTCTTTCAAGTGTGTGCTGAAACTGCATATCATCTAGACCCAGTAAGATTACCGAGAAAAAAACAAGATGACATAACAAAGAAGTTTGGAAATTAAGTTTATAAAGCATGACACGGAAAAAAAACCCATCCCTACTTCCGAAATTAAACTAACCTGTAAAGTGAGAGCTTCATTATCATGCGCATACTTCTCCTCTGGTAATTGCGTGATTGACGATCTCCTCTCTGAACTTGCTGGAATCTTTTTCTTGCCTGGAAACAAAGCGATGGGTTGTGTAAACTTCTCATTAAAAAAAAACCATATTAATTTATTAAGAAATGTCTGTATGTTGCAACAAAAAAAAAGTCCAATTAAAATTACCTTTGATGTAATGAAATCTCATGTGAGCAGTCTTAATCCAGCAGTTTTTTTTGTACATCCCTTGATATAGTTAAAATACACCACACATGGAAAAAACACCGATTGGTTTGATCAAAGGAAGTTTGTGTTTTTCTGAAAGCTGGGATCTTCCTGATTATTATGCCTTAAAAATTTTTCAATTAAATTTTCTAGAAGAAGAGATATTGCATTTTGAAGTAACAAATTGTGGAAAAGTAAGAACTTGGAAAAATGCATTCAAAGTTACACCATTATTGGTTCTCATGATGCCCTGTCTTCATCTCACCTTTGCTGAGAACAGGCACTGCACTGTTGTTGATGTTTGCTGACTGGGGCCGTTGCCGCTGTCGTTGTTCTACAATAGCTTTTGCTGGTGGCTCTTTCAAAAAGTAGGTTACTTCACTATCCATGGTGCCACCCAAGGCTAGCAACTGCTGAATTTTCTTTTTGTCCTCGAGCTCACGGATCTGAAGAAAAAAAAATGTTATTATAGAGACAGGTGCTTCCTTTCCCGCCAAAGCACCGAGTTCAGTTCCCAACTTCTACAGAATGACTGAATGATGAATGGGATACTAGGGTTCCCACACTCCCCAATTTCTTGGAAGGCAAAACTGAAAAACTAGTCTTGAATTACTATTGCCAATGGATTACAAAGAAAATGAAACAAAGTAAAGACTTAAAAGCACTACTGATTTTTAGAAAAACTTTTGGTCCTTTGAGGTCAATAAGGTAAAGAAAATAACGCATACAAAAAAAAGTCAAAAACATTCAATTGCCTTACAGATCTGCAAAAAAGTATCATTCTTACTCTGTACCTTAAGCCTGTCATTCTCAGCATAAAGCCTGAGTACATGTTCCCGTTCCTGGAACAAGTAAATTTGCATGTCGCTCAGGGCTTTTTGCAGCTCCACAATCTCCTCCTCTCGCTGCCGAAGCTCCCACTGCATGGTGTGCTGACAAAGAAGAAAACAGAAATGGCATACTCAACATACAATTTGTGTGTAATGTATTGGATGCAACCAAAATAACTCAACAAACTGTGGGATCGATGACAACAATGTTAATAATAATA